GAGAAGTGTCAGCAATGCTGTTCATCAGATAACCATAGTTATTTCTAGGTTGACAACAGGGACACATGCCGGTCATCCCAGCATTCAGAAAGTCGAAGGAGCATTGAAAATTCAGCAACAGCATGTGCTACGTAGTGAGTTCAAGAGCAGCCTGGATTACTTAGCAAAACCATGCCTCAGAAATCACCCCACACAAGGGAGCAGCAGACTGAGTGGCAGCTGAGTGCAGGGGCTGTGGTCCCTGTCTACACCAGGGGGCACTGCTCTAACTCCTTCTCATGGAGACCCAGGTCCTCTTCTGGCCACCACTGTTCACACCAAGCCTTGGTCACCTCCCTTGGGTAGCCGCCTTGGATTAGTGGTGGGCTCAAGGGAAATTCTAAGTGAGACACTGAGAGGGAGCCCTGGGGCTAGAGACCGTGTTCTGGTGACTCCGAGGCCCTGAAGATTTCCTGGTTCCCACAGGCATTCTGGAGAGGTGCGGCTGTTGGCCAGGTGACTCCAGGGAAACAAGAGACGCTCACGTCATCTATGGCCAGGACTATGTTTGGCTGACTTGTGGCCTCTCAGGGACCCAGCTGGCTGGCATCTCTCCCAGCCTGCAGAGCCACAGACCTGAATCCTCACAGCCAGATTGGAAGCCACGCTCCTCTGGCTTTTCTGTAGCTCAGGAGCAGTAGCCAGGTGTCAGTGGGGAGCGAGGCAGTGGGCAGGCTGTGTGGCCTGAGTGTCATCCAGCCACATCTCCACTGGTGCTAGGGGAAAACTGGCCTCCAGCTCTTTCCTCTCCCTGCCAATTCTCGTGAGCACTGTTTCCACAGCAAATGTGAACCTCGCTGGATGGGGTCCAAGCACAGGGAGTTCCATTGTTCAGGCTTCAGCCCCAGCATCTGGGGGCCTGGCCCAGTCTGGGCACATGCAGCTGGCCTGGCCTTTCTCCTAGTGGCTACAGGTCTTGGGACAGCCATTCAGGAGCCTCAGTCCATTCACTTCCTGGCTGGGGACAGCCCCTGGGAACTCCTGGCCTGGACTGTCCCTCCCTCTGCTCCTGATGCTTCTGCCAAATGTTTCCAACAGCTCAGCCCTGGCAGAGTTTCTCATTCCTGTGTTCCCCTCACTAGTCCTTACTTCACTGAAAGGAGGGAAGAAAGGAGGGGAAAAAGAGGAGGGGCTGCAGAATGAGCCCTGATTCCTTGACTAGCTGATGATTCTCCGGGCTTCCCAAACAATGGCATAAGCTAGGTATATTCATCAGATTCCTATCACTAGGACAAAATACCTAACACCCCTAGTTTAACAGAAGGGAGGTTTATTTCCTTTATGGTTTCAGTAGGGTTAGTCTCTGGTCAGCTGGCTCCAAGGCAGAAAGGATATGGTAGAAAGGAATAGAGGTAGAAAGTTGCTACGATGGAGGCCTTGAAGCAGAGAGACAGGAAAGAGCCGGAGACAAGAACAGTTTTCCACAGCATGCTCCAGTGCCCCACTCCAGCCACGTCCCACCTCCTAATGGCACATTCAGCTATAAACTCACCCCTGCGTGAATCCACTGAGTACAGCGCCCCCATGATCCAACCACCTTCTCAAAGCTCCACCTCTGAACATAAGAGGTTTGGGAAACCTTCAAGCTCCAAACAGTACTACTGGGCTTCATATAAAGAATGGGCTATAGTCTAGCCTCAAGCCCCTGCTGGAGCACAGGTGGGCAGAACAACCACTGCTCTGGCTGGTGAGTGCTGGCCAGAGCAGGGCAAGGTGGGCGAGGCTTGCCTTCCTGCCCTCCCCCCAGGGGCACTCTCTCTTGAGACCCTTGCCCTGCTGGAGCTCTGGCTGTCAGTTCCAGGGGCTTTACTGTCCGGCCCCTGCTTCTGGTCAGCATGGGCTGTGGGGCTACCAGCATAGACCATATGTTAGAGGCCTCTTTCTTTCTATCTTAGACACACTTTATGATCATATTATCATTCTTCAAAACACACCGTGACTATTAATCAACACCACCTCATTGTAAAGCTCACTGCTATGGGCAGTCCAGGTATTCCTCTCCTGGCATCACCATGATAGAGTACCACAAACAAGTACCTTTAAACAGTAGAAGTGTATTGTTTCACAGTTCTGGAAGCGAGATACCCAAGATCAAGGCAGGCTCTGGAATAGAGACCCTCTCAGACTTCTCCCCAACTTCTGACTCTAATCATCCTTATTCTGGAGACATATAACTCTGATCTCTGATCCTGTTATCAAGAGGACTCTTCTGAGTCTCTCTGTCTCCAAATCTCAGTGTCCAAATTTCTTTTTCTTATAGAGACATTGCTTTTCAAAAAAATGTTAATTTTGCTCTTGAGACAGGGTTTAAGTCATCCAATGGGGCTCAAACATGCGATCCTCTTTCTTCAGAGTGCTGTGATTACATCCAATTTGGGATTGGCACCAGCCTAATACAATGTGACCTTGTCTTAACTTGGGTACATCTATTTCCAAATAAGTCACAGGTATCAGGAATTAGAACTTGAACATCTCTTTTTGAAGGACAGACTT